TTTTTATCAGTTTTGTCAGGTTATCGGGCGAATTGTAGATCGTTTTTCTTATCGATTCGACCTATTTATTCCTATTTATTCACGCGTCATATACACCTCAGATGATAAACTGCCGCACAAAATAGGTCACATTATCAATGTTGGTGGATCTGTTTGGGCGATGGATTGGTGCCCCAACATACAAGCTCAACGTAAATATACTAACTCATTATAATTTAATTTTCTTGCATTTATATTTAATCATGACTAATTGTTTATATAAAGACGGCCAGTATTTGGCTATTGGTGGTTATAAATCAACTACTGAAGAACATCATCATATCGCCCGGCGTCAAAAAAACGATGTGAATTACGCGATACAAATTTGGAAAATTGATTGCCAAGATGATGCCACTTCAATAGAAGATCCAAAATTGGATATAGTTATTTGCCATGAATTTGGATGTACTTTTGATCTACAATGGTGTCCATATGGGGCACATGATAATTGCTTGGTAAAAATTGTAATTATAAACATTGGCCGCATGTATTTTGATGTTAATAATGTGATATCTATTTTATAGAATGCATTTGAGAGTCAATCGGAACATTTCGTCCCAAAATTAGGAATTATTGCTGCATCATTCAGTGACGGTTCTATTGGAATATTTGCTATCCCTCAACCAGATTATGTTCGACACACACTGGGCTTATCTCAAGATTCAAATAAACCACTATTCGGTATAGATTCCAAATTCGTTTTTTCGGGTCAATTTCATATATACCATAGGTATTTTACTAATATTTATTTATTTATACATAGTGAAATTTTCAAAACCTTTGTTGATTCTCTCATTGCCTCAAGTTCTTTGTTGGACTGTTAGTTGGGGTGGTCACAAAAAAATAGCCACTGGGTGCACCAATGGTTGTTGTTTTCTTTAATTTGATAAATTATTTACTTAATGCAATTGTCATTATATTTAACTTCGGTATCTAATGTAGGTGATATAGCAATATGGGATATTGAAGACATTTTATCATATAACATCACAAATGGAACCTTTAGCGATTCAGAAGGTTTATCAAAAATAATTTAGTATTTGCATTCATTTACGATCGTGTTTTGATCATTAAAAAAATTTTTTTTTTTTAAACAAAGTTATCCCGATTCGATATTTCCGAGCCCACGATTCATGTATCCGTCAAATAACATGGAATTCTATTGAAAACCCCAGTCATACTCTGAGTTGTGGGCATGATGGTAGATTGCTTATTTTTAATGAACGTGAACCATGGTTTAAAAACATGATTCAGCGAATCAGGGGTTTGTAATTAATTTTCTATATTTCCTTAAGACTTCACTTGCTGAATTTTTAAATTGTATAATTTTAAATCGGATTCACTACAGCATTCATGATGACTGCGTGTTGGCCATGCCATTATGGTGGAATTGCCTTTTCTGATACTGATAACACATTAAGATATATTCGTATGGATGATTTAAAAAAGACAACTGGACTAATCATGCACCATGCCACCGTTTTTGTAAGTCAATTTTTTTGTGAATTGATTAAATTATTATATATCATGATTAGGCAGGTATACAGTTTATTTCAAATAGAGAATAGCAGCATCTTATTTTCACCCATTTATGGCAAGTTGTTCGGCAGATGGTACGGTGAAAATGGCAAATATTTGCCGATTAAGAGATAGGCATCAGGTTGATATAATTCAATATATTTACTGAAATTATCATAGCTTATTCATTAATTTGCATATTTTTATATCTTCTTCATAGAAACCTATACAAGTAACTTTATACCGTATCGGATTAGATGAAGATCAAAAAAACTGTTTTGTTTTGGGATAATATTAAATCCCAGGTAATCTCATCGAGCTTGTTTAATCAATATATTTGTTCATATTCGTTTATACGTACACTATAATTATAGAAAACAACTGCTACATACCATACCTCTAAGACTTTTAGCCACTTTTTTAAACCAGAAGTGTCTATTCAACGTGTAAGTTTATTCTATGATTTTTTGAAGGGGTATACTTTCTTTGAAATTAATGTTCCAATCCTATTTTATAGATGACATGGAATCCGAATTTTAATGCAGGTACATGGATTGCGTCAGGCGGTACATTGGGCCTGGTTAGGGTTGAATCTGCGAATCGGGAATAAAAAATTTTTTTGTATATTCTGAAATTTTTGATGGAGTATTAAACTCTAATAAAGATTTATTTCTTTATAAAGTTGAGATTAAAGTATAGTCGAATCTAATATACAATTGGTTTTTGGGCAATAATAAACAACATATAAAAACCAAGATTAATTATTGTCGCAGATCATAATGAAATTGGATTAAAATGAAATGGGGGTTTCTATTTGATCCTCTAAAACCCATTTATACTTGTTTATTATAAAACCTGCTTCTAAACCATAATCTTAACTTTAACAAAATGCATCCCAAAAATCTGTATTTTTTGGTGGCTTGTTTATTTTACACTATTTTTTATTTTATTTTAATCTGCCACAATTATTATATTATAAAATTTTTAACTAGACCTTTTTTGAAAATAGTAATTTTTAATTAGTAACAACTTTATATTTTTGCTAGATATATCTAAAAATTATTTATATCTTATATATAAAACAAATAGCTTTTTTGTAATTTCTAGTTCTAACAAACCAAATATTAAAACACTAATCTTTTTTGGTTATCTTATCTTTAGTTAGAATAGTTTTTAAAAAAACTATTTATCATTTTGTTATCTTATTATTTCTAGTAAAATACTTAAGAAATAAAATATCTATAATGAAATATAAAAACAACAAAATATAAAAATGAAGTAGACTTTAAGATTTAAAAAAATAAAAATAAAAATAAAGTAGATATATAAAAACTTAATAAAAATATAAAATAAAAAAATTATAATTGTTTGATTTTTGCTAGAGTTCAGGGTATAGGAAAAAATTTGGGCATGCTCATATGAGCATGTCTCTGAGCTAAAGCATGTCCCTTATACATATGGGCATACCCTTTTTAAATCATGTGATTAATATATAGTTCACAAAATAGGAATAAATAGGTCGAATCGATAAGAAAAACGATCTACAATTCGCCCGATAACCTGACAAAACTGATAAAAA